CCCTCCCCCCCCCCCCCCCGCCCCCCCACGTACCTCTCCTTCTGGGTGTCGTCGCTCTCTCTCACGTACCAATAGGAGGACTGCTACGGAGAAGACCGTTTCAACGGTTGGACTCCCATGAAGGAGGAAGGCAAGGACGCCAACGGTATCGACTTGCCCGGGTTGGACGACGGCGTGTGGAGACGCCCCTTCCGTTCCGAGTCGGTCATCTACGGCCGCCTCAGGGGGGAGTTGGATCCCAAGTAGGCAGTGACGTCGGTCTGATGGGATCGATACTATAGGTTGTTGGTGGTGGCAGAGTTGGATCTGGAGTAGTAGGCGGTGACAGATGGGTGGGTATGGTGGTTCGATAGCTTGGTCCTGCCGCGGATGTTGGTAGCGGTGACGGGGGTGGGGCTAGGCGGAGTCTTGTATTGGACCCGATTATTTGTGCCGCCGCGAGGTTGGCTGGATGGGTCCTTTGATGGATGGGTTTGGCAGCAGTGCCCGTGGTGCTGAGGCGGAACTTGTCTGCGGCATGGCATGGCATGGCATACAGCGTAGCATGTCGTGTCATTCCATTATTTTCCGAAGAAACGCGGTTTCTGTTTTTTGGTGAGAAGAACGCGTGCATGTCATATGCCATGCCTGCTTTTCGGGAGAAACACGTTTCTTTTTGGGAGGGGAAAAGCGCATTTCCGCAATTGCAGGTGGTAGCGCCCTCCTTTTGCCGTTGTCACGGCTTTGTCTTGCATTTCGTCGGTGCTTTTTTTTTTTGTCCAAGTGTTGTTGTATCTGTGTTTTGGCGGGTTATTTTTTCGGCGTGGGTGGGTCTTGATTGGTGCGTCTCGGAGCGCTACTGATCTGTCGGTTACGTTTCGGGGTCCCCCAGCGGGTTTTGGACTCCCCTATTATAGCGACCGTTGCCATGTCGGAATATCCGATTGTCTCTAAAAGGCTGGTCTCTATTAACTGGCACTGACTGCTTTAGATGATAGGTCCTTTACGTTTTTTTTTTACATGTATTACGTGGTGGGAAGGAAGCCACGGTCCCTTTGTATGTTTTGGTTTACGTACCCTTTTTTTGTTTTGGTCCCTCACATATATATAAGGGGCTTGATTTCATGATGATGACTTAGTGTGGTGCAGTGGGTAGGCATCCCCTGCGTGTCGTTCTCTTGCATGTAACATTGGAAGGGCCTCAGTGGCTCTTGCCGGGGTGGGGGAGGCTCTGAGGTACCGTATACGACACAAGATAACACCCCCCCCCTGGACCGACTTTCAAAGCTCGATTTATCAACAGCAGAAAGAATGGGGGTGCCGAAAACGGCGGCGTTGCAGCCTTCTGGTCGAGAGCTCTCCGAAAACGTATCGTTTCGTTTAGTGTATGCATCCTCTCGGTTCGTGGAGAAATCGAGCTTTGAAAAATGTGTCCAGGAGGTGTGTTGTCTTGTGTCATATACGGTAGGTCTGTCTGTCCCCCTTCCTGGCTTGTTCGCTTTGGGCAATGTTGACGCGCTGCCCGGTGGTCACATGTCCGGTGTTGAGTGTGCTTCATTTAACGTTACGTTACCTCCCGCCGGCACGGCGGTGTTTTTGGTTTTCGTTGACGTGTGGAGGAGCTGTCGCCCCCCCCCCCCTCCGTATCCCTTTTTTTCCGACCCAGTTTGGTGGGAGCTTGTTCACTGCCCTTATTTCTTATTTCAAGGGAAGCTCGTTCTCGTAGGGCAAAGGGCAGGCTTCATGCATGCCACCGCGGACAGGTAATGATTTTCGGAGAGAGGTTGCGGTTTGAGTGCGCTTTTTCTTGCTTTGGAGAGACGCTATGAATGAAAGTGTTCATTTTTACCCTTGGGGGGGGGATTCGCTATGTGCTTGTTCGCGACAGCGCTCCCCCGCGAAGTACGTTCTGAAAATTATGTCCCCAGTCAGAATGCTGCAAGCATACACCGGACAGCCGATTTCGCTGAATCTACTGCTGTCCAGTCATGATGCTGTAAGCATACACCTGATGACCGTTTTTGCTGAATCTACTGCTGTCCAGAAAGGATGCTGCAAGCATACACCTGATGACCGTTTTTGCTGAATCTACTGCTGTCCAGAAAAGGATGCTGCAAGCATACACCTGATGACCGTTTTTGCTGAATCTACTGCTGTCCAGAAAGGATGCTAAGCGTACACCTGATGACCGTTTTTGCTGAATCTACTGCTGTCCAGAAAGGATGCTAATCGTACACCTGATGACCGTTTTTGCTGAATCTACTGCTGTCCAGAAAGGATGCCAAGCGTACACCTGATGACCGTTTTTGCTGAATCTACTGCTGTCCAGAAAGGATGCTAAGCGTACACCTGATGACCGATTTTCCCAAATCAATCTTCACCAGGCATAGGTATTTATTTATGTTTTTGTGATTCGGTGCGCTCCTTGAGGGAGACAGCAAGGACCACCACTCACTTTGAAATGAGTGATTAGGTCAATTCCAAAATTAGCTGACCAAGTGAAAGTGTCGTCTACCCTCGTCAACATCACCGGGGAGGCCTCTTTCTCAGCACGCAATAATCGGCCGCAACCAGTTGGCTTGTGGCCACGGACGGCGTTCGCGTCAGTTGTACTGTTATAGTATAGTATAGTAATAGTATAGTATAGTATAGTACAGTACGGACATTAAGAGGTACTGAGTGGAGGCCGGAACGATTTTTTAATGTGAAGACAACAACAACAACAAGCCTGTCCGACCCACGAGTGTCAGTGGAGGTCCCGAAATACCGCGGTCTCGGAACACCGTGGTAAAAATCGCTCGTCCTGGGACTTGGCTACAAACCCTATAATGAAAGCTTCCATTCCCCAACACTCACAACAGCGCGGTGTCCCGACATTATTTTCGTGTCACTACAAGTCCCTACACCTCGTGGTGCAGTATTTCGGGACCACTACTTCCCACTAGAAACCGAAGTAGAGAGAGGAAGACATTACGTGCTCGCAGTTTTCCTATTGGTCTACATTGACGGTGAGAAAGAGAGTACGTGCCTTCTCGAGCGGCACGTTGTGGAAACCAGTCACACACGCACCGTTTCGCCGCTCCCCCCCACGGCCCTACTTCTACCACCAGCAACCATAATCGATCGCGATGTTCCCGACTACGTCCGCGAAGAACCAAGTTTCGCCCATTCATGCCATATAAAGAATTCTATGTAGCGAAAAAACGCGTGGTAGGTGCAGGAGGTCTGCCGACCATCGTCAACAATGCTGATTTCGCTAAAAAGCGGGGTCATTTTTTTCGCAAGTGCCCTCAGTGGAGAAGGCTGCCCACACGTTGTTCTTGGACCCCCATCGCTGATTGGCCAATCTTGTCGACCGACGGCTCCCGATTGGTCGAAAATCCTTGGATAGGTATATAGGGGCCTTGCTGGATTCACGGCACACGCATTCTTTTCGCCGAAGGACCGGTGGTCGTTGTTTCTGATGCTGCTGCTGCCGAATCGGCACCAGTCTCCCCGCCGTGTACCGGTTTCGCGCCATCTATCGCTCCCAGAAAGCTGAGTGTATATTGGTTCTCCTGAGGAGCACATGCGGCAGAGAGGCCAAAGATAGACGGGGAAAGATAAAAAGCGGTTTTGTTTTCGATCGCAAGGCTCGCCTTGGACGTACGTGACCCATCTACGACCAACCATTTTGTCCTCCAGCCGTTGTGTCCGCCAGCCAATGTCGCATGCTCTATCGAACGCTCTACCAGAAATGGCCCCCATCTTACCGCACGTACGCGTGTGCGAATGCGCACCCTTTGGGACGAGCAAACACGAGAGACAATAGTTTCGTCACACTTGAAACACCGTTTCCGACCACCACCCACGACGTAGGCACTGACCAGCACCAACACAAAGATAAATAATAATAAAAAAAGACAGACACAGCCGTAGAGATACAGGTTTCGTCATCAAACAACGCCATGAGTTCATTGCTCATCTATCCCTGGCTCTTTAACGTGAGGAAGAGATGAATTGTGTAAAAAAAAAAAAAAACATGCGTACCTGACAAAGCTTGAAGAGGTCGGTCTGGTGACTTGTGAGCGCTCTTTGGAGGGTCCTCATCACCCCCGCCGCCCTAGAGTCAGACGTCGCCAGGCCTCTCAGGAACCCCCCGTGGGCCTGCAGCGTGGACAGGCTCCAGGTCAAGTGGAACTCCAGCCGCGGGGAGTGCGTCAACCTGTCCGATAGCGAACAAGAGGACTATTTGATTTCCTGTGCAGCAGCCGCGTCCCACTTTTGGGACCCTCACTCGTGTTTTTCGTAGAGCGTAGA